ATCTCATATATTAATAACAGAAGATTATAATGAAAAGTATATTAAAGTGAAAGAAAACTGTAGGTTTGAGTTAGATTTGAGTTTGTATTGAATTTTTTTGGAAAAAAAAATTATAAGCAAGCAAACTCTGACGTGTTATGGTGTTTTTAATTTTATTCATTTAATGATTAATATATAATACGGAGTTTGGCTTGAATTTTCAATAAAGTTTTCTATTCAATTAAGATTTTTTCTTGACTTTAGCTTGAGTTTGGCTCGAATTTTGCTCAAGTTAAGGGCATTTAAATAAATTACATATGAACTCGAACGAATCGTCGAGCATTTAAGCTTATAACCTGCAAACTCAAGTTCGAGTTCTACATGCTCGAGCTTGTCTTGTGTAAGGCAAAACTCGAGCTCCAACCGAACTTTGACTCGAATGTGAGCAAGTTGCTCAAGTCATCATTTGCTCTAAGTACAAACTAATTAATTGGACATTAGCTTTTGTAGACATAATGAGTTTTTATTCAATTCTGTCATCAATTATTAAAACAAAATAGTGACTTGTTTTGTCCTTCATTTGTATTTTTTTATATATAAATCCTTGTCATTGAGATTAATTATAAATCATAGCGTCCTGATAAAAATGATTGGGGCGTTATTTTCACATTTGAATTATTCTTTTGTTTATTTTATTTTATTAGTGGTAGATAACATAAGAAGTGAAGTGCCATCTGTCGTCCAATTTCTTTTTCTGGTTGATTCACTAACTGGACATTTTAATGCCAATAAAACATTTCTGAAAAAGGTATGTATGTTAATAAGTGAGACTGTCATTCAATGTGGTTTACTGCCTATTTGTTTTTTAAAATAAATAAATAAATAAATAAAAATCTCCATCACAGTTACCTAATTAATAATGTTTTATAAATAATTAAGCTATGGCTCTTCAACATCTCTAATATAGCTAACTAAATTTGTAATTTATCAAAATCAGAGGGCTAAAGGATGAAATGGACAAATGAACTGGCAAAACATAAAAAGATCGAAGTAGAAGGTGAAATCTGCTTATTCAATCTATAGGTATTTGAATAAGATATCTGCTTCATAGCGTCTCCAGCGCAGCGCCAGATTTGGCTTCTTGCGCTGGAGTTGTGTGAAAATCTCCTCCACTACTGCGCTAGACTTCTGCGCCAGAAAGGAGTTGGGAACTTTTTTTTTTTTTTTTGTGTTTATTATTATTAATAAATTTTTGTATAATGTGTATTAGTGAATGTATTTTTTATGCTAAATAATTGTGTAATGTATTTTTTATGCTAAATAATTTTGTGCTTTTTATTTATTGATGTATTATAATTTTATTTTGTAATTTTTTAATATTAAAATGATATTATATGAATAAAAATTTAACACACTCAAGTAAGTTTATTTCATTAAAATTAAGTTTACAACACACATAAAATCATAGAACATAAATAAAAACAACATGATTAAAAATGACTTAACACACAAATAAACACAACATGATTAAAGATGACATATATGGTCTAAACCATATATGGTCTAGTGTGTAAATTTGCACTAATTCATATATGGTCTAAACCATATATGGTCTAGTGTGTAAATTTGCACTAATTCATATATTTTCAAAAGTAACAGTTTTGATTCAATCGGTACATAGATGTATATGTATCTTCTTTAGGAAATTCAATTTATTACAATTATTTTTTAAATGTGAATATATGTTGTAAACCATATATGGTCTAGTGTGTAAATTTGCACTAATTCATATATGGTCTAAACCATATATGGTCTAGTGTGTAAATTTGCACTAATTGTTTACTATTTGGGTAATAAACATTTATATAATATTACATAATCATATATATAGCAAATTATTCGAAATAAAAATAAATAAAATATATTTTTATTATTTGAGTAATTAACATTTTATATAAGATTAAATATACATATATACCAATTTATTTGAAATAAAAAATGAATAAAAAAATAATATATTTAATGTAGAGTAAAATATAGAGATAAAGGCTGGAGATGAATGTTTAACTCTACTCTAGAGTAGAGTAAAGTCCACGCTAGAGTAGAGATAAGGGCTGGAGATGGCCTCAGTATCAATGCCATCTATTTACTTCTTCAAATTATCTTTATTGGAAGAGTGGATTATTCAATATTTATATTCTACTTCAAGATAACTATCAACTACCTATTAAATGATTATAATATAAAGTTCTAAACAATTAATAGTTAACTTAATGTTTACAAAGAAAAAGAGATATTATAATTGTGTTGCGTAATTGAATTTCAAATAGTATTATAATAGGTTTGGTTCATATGAATATCTACTTTCAATTATAAATTAATTTTCCCGAGATTTTACTAATACAACTTTTTACCGTTATAACAAAATAAAGAGGGGTACACTTAACTGTATTAAACTAGATTTAACATTTAAGTATAATGTTGAGATTTTTTTTTCTTAAATAGTTTTTTTAATTAACTTCAAATATTATTTTTAAAAAAATTTGACCGTCCTAAGTACGTTGACTTGATTAGTTGTTGAGAGATGTTCAAGATGAACATGAATAAAACTGTAAATACCCAAAATTTATGGTAGCAAACTGGAATTAATGGAAAGCACAGACACCAGTGCAACTGTAAACAAACAATAAAGAATGTCCATCTCAAACAAACGGGAAAAACAACAAACACATAAATTCCATTTTTCTCACACGCACACAGCGTAACCCAGCTCATATCCAAATCCAAATCTAAACTTGGAACCAAAAGTTATCTTCTTTACCAATTTTCTTGCACTGTTACTCTGTTATTGCTAGATCTTTTGTGTTTCAAAGCTGAGTAAAGATTCTTTCCTTTGTTTATTTTCTTTGATTTTATTTTTATCCTTTCTGTAATTCTTGATAATGTCCCTTTTGGGCCATCCTCATTTGGGTTGATTTTTTGATCTTACTAGATTTGGGATGTTTTTTACAGTTAATGTGAAGTAAAATTTTGCTTTATCTAGAGACGTCTATACCCAAATCCAGACTCGTTGTCTGGGATTATCTTTTCGCCTCAATTTTAATTGGGTTTTCTAGATTTTACAAAAATAGATTTATCTCATAGTTTGTTTATTGATTTTGGGGTTTTTCTTCGATTTTCCCTTTGTGGGCTTGCCCTATTCATGTTTTTTGGTGGGAAGATTTGGCCCTGAAAGCTGAATCCTGAAAAAAAAAAAGTGTAAAAGATGAAGATGAAGCTCAGAAAGTCGGTGCTTTTCTTGTTGCTCGTGACAGTTTTTGCTCCTATTATTCTCTACACCGGCACTCTTGAAGTCTACTTTACATCCTCTTCTTGTAATTAATATATTTTTCCCTATTCATTTTTTATTTTCTATTTTTTGACTTTTTAATTGATTGATTGATTGATTTATTTGTTGTTGATTTTTACAGCCAGGAACGAGTTTGTAGAAGATGTTTCAACACTTGTAAGTATATCTCTGCTGGAAAAATTCAACACACACCTAATTTGTAATTTTTAGTTTGTTTGTCTTGAACTTTCGAATTCTCTGATTTGCAGACTTTTGCTGGTGAAGTTAGGTCTCTGAATGTTCTGCCTCAGGTATAGAAATTATTAACCTCCTCATTAGGTGTATAATTTTTATGCATTTGGTGGATCCTTTTGTTCTTTATTTATCTTTCAGTTTTAATTGCTTTTTTCCTGATGTAAAACATAACAGGAGTCATCTGCAACATTAAAAGAACCATTTGGCATAGTTTATTCCGAAAATTCAATAGACTCGAATCCCAATGCTTCCGATTCATCGACTGGAGAAAATACTCGCATTACCCGACAACTAACTGAAGGTTTCTATTTTTTTTTTTTCCAATATCTGTATCTGATTACAAAGGATTCCAAATTCAATTTTGTGGTTAATACTTAATATAACTCGTTTAATTAAACATCAGAATCAGCAGAAGAAAAAGCCTCAAATTTGACCATATTGAGGGAAAATCAGTCGTCAGACAAGAATCCCATTAGACAGGTGGTGATAGATGAGGTGCGTGGGGATGAAGTTGAGCCGAGCGAAGAAAAAATTGTTAAACCTAAATCGAGCAAGAATATAGAAACTGAGGGTACTTCAGAAAATGCCTCACAAAAAATGGTAAGATTGTTGTACTTTATTGTTTGTTCCAAGTTAGGATTTTTTTTTAGTTTTTTTTTTACTTTTTTTTTTTGTAAAATTTTCCTTGTTATGATTGATGCATTGGGATGTGAGCTTGTACATATGGCCGTGATCAAAGTTGGCCGTGGTTTTTGTGTGCCGATGAACATCTGTCATTTTTGCAGTGGTTTTTGTATAGTTTTTCCATTGAACATCTGTCGTTGGATGTTGTGATTTTGTTAGATCCACAAAATCTTAATTAATTAATTCAGCCATTAGATTGCTTGACGATATTTTCTTGATAGTTTCTAAAAAATGTTCGAAATTAACCGTTTTTGTTTCATTTTCTTCAAGGAAATACCTGCAAAGCACAGAGATGCTTCCAAGGCGAGAACTAGAAAACAAAACGAGCGAGCTGTTTCGACAGATGCTCGGGTTCACCAGCTCAAGGACCAACTCATTCAAGCAAAAGTTTATCTCTCCCTATCCTCGACCAGAAACAATCCCCACTTTATAAGGGAGCTTCGTTTGCGCGTGAAAGAAGTTCAAAAAGTTCTTGGAGAGGCCATCAAGGATTCCGAGCTGCCAAGAAAGTTAGTTTTATTACATAAGACCCCTTGAAATCATCCATAGTTACAAATACCCCCTCAATACCTGTTTTTTATTTGAAAATTTATGTTGTCCTTGGGGTACATTCGTTCGGTGTTTCTAATACCATTAATAGGGTACTTGCAAATTTTAAAGGATGATCGGATTTTTTATTTTTTATTTTTTATTTTTTTGGGCAAATACATCAAACCTCAATCGTAGTTTTTGTAACTATACCCAGAGTTTCATCTTTGGAATAATGCCTAAGATTTAAAACACACGTGTAACTGTGTAAAACTTGATAGGTGCCATTGATTTCTCTTTTCATATATATATATATATATTGTTTCACTCTTCATCTCCTGTTGTAATGTTCAAACTTGTGTTTTCATTTTGTAGTGCTAACGATAAACTGAAAGCAATGGAGCAAACTCTGTCAAAGGGGAGACAAATACAGGAAGATTGTGCGGCCGTGGTAAAGAAACTCCGAGCAATGCTTCATTTGGCAGAAGATCAGCTTCGGGTCCACAGGAAGCAAACCTTGTTTTTGACCCATTTGACTGCAAAAACTATCCCGAAAGGGCTTCACTGTCTTCCCCTACGCCTCTCAGCGGAGTATTTCATGCTCAACTCGTCTCAGAGGAATTTTCCGAACGAGGAAAAATTGGAGGATCCCAAGCTGTATCACTACGCGTTGTTTTCGGATAACATATTGGCTGCAGCTGTTGTCGTGAACTCGACAATCACCCATGCAAAGGTAAAAACACAAAAAGAAAATGAAAAAAAAAATATATATTATCTTTTGTCTTTTGGGTAATTTTTAGGGTTATGCGAAAGAATATCACATGTTTAGCCTAGTTACCAAAATAAATCAGAGGTTTTGCGAATTAGTAGTACTTCATGGTGGATTATTTTTTCATGCATTTATAATGGGGAAATGTAATATTTATGATTGACAGGTTGTTAGCATTTTTTTTTAATCTATTAGAAGGGATAATAGCGGAATATTTATGTGTTTGCCTGAATAGCCCAAAGCTCTTGGAGTTCCTTTTTTTAAAATTTTTTTTAGGGTGTTTTGATATTAAAGAAAACAGTAGATTACGAAAACTTTCCCCTGAGGTCTGGCCTAATTGCCATAAAAGTCTTGTTATCTTTCATAATTACAAAAACACAGCCTCGTTCTATGTATTTACTTAATCACTACTTCCCTCCTCGCGCGTGCAATTCATAAAAATTGAAAGAAGTTTCAAGGGGCTTGTTCGTGTTTCCANATCAACAAATATTCTTAAATTTCGAATCTTTTTTGTGTCACCACTCAGGACCCCTCGAAACACGTCTTCCACATAGTCACTGACAGGCTCAACTACGCCGCCATGCGAATGTGGTTCTTATCAAATCCCCCGGGAAAAGCAACTGTAAATGTCCAAAATGTCGAGCATTTCACTTGGCTCAACTCGAGCTACAGTCCTGTCCTCAGGCAGCTGATTGCTCCCTCCACAATCGACTACTACTTTAAAAACCGCCGAACAGAATCCGACCCAAACCTGAAATACCGAAACCCAAAGTACCTCTCGATTATGAACCACCTGAGGTTTTACCTGCCCGAGATCTTCCCGAAACTCGCTAAAGTTTTGTTTTTGGACGATGATGTCGTGGTGCAGAAGGATCTCACGGGACTTTGGTCTTTGGATATGAAGGGAAAAGTCATTGGTGTGGTGGAGACGTGTGGAGAGAGCTTTCACAGGTTTGATCGGTATTTGAATTTTTCGAACCCGATTATTTCAAGGAATTTTGATCCTCGTGCGTGTGGTTGGGCTTTTGGGATGAATGTTTTCGATCTGAATGAGTGGAGGAAGCAGAATATAACGGACGTGTATCATAGGTGGCAGAATCTGGTACGTTTTTCGTTCGTTTTTTCTTTTTCTTTTTATTGTTATTGTTTTGTATGACTTGTGGGGGCTCTCTTGGTTAAGTTGGATATTTAGCATGATTTTTTGCTCGATTTATTTTCTTCTTTATGCAATAACACGAATAGCTATATGTCCTCTGTGTTGAATACTATGCATTATTTTGCTTTTTGCTGCACTAATCGAGCTCAAGTAGTCGATTATTGAGGGTGTGATTGGATATGAATTTGATTAGTTTTGGATTGATTTTTTGGTTAACCATAGTTAATTTTAAAAAAGGTGGGATGATTAGTTGTTATGGAAATTCAAGTTTAAATTAAAATAATATTTAAATTAAAATAATTGAAGTTGATTTGATGTAAAAGTAGGGGAAAAATGATTGGGGGTAATGGTTATTTAAAATTGTGTGAGTGGTTGAATAGTGAATTAAAGTTGATGCGATGTGTAAGAATGATTGGTTGATATTATTTAATTATATTGATAATATTGAGTATAGTAGGGTTGAGTTAAAGTTAGTTAAATTTGAGTTTTTGATTGGTTTTTTTTTTCAATTGANTTTTTTTTTTTTGTTAATTTTATATCCAATCACACCCTTAGATATTCGCTCGATTTAGTTTCTTCTTTATTCAATAACCTGACTAGCTATACGTTCTCTGTGTCGAATACTATGCATTATTTTGCTTTTTGCTGCACTAATCGAGCTCAGGTGATCGACTATGAAGTTACCATAGGGAGACTTCAAACTCCAGTAAGAGTTGGTCTAAGATAATTTTGGAAATAGTTTAGTCTAATTACTTGAAACTACACACACACACCCCCTCATTAGATGGCCATTCACAATTTTGGTAATGAATATAGATATCTGGATTCATCTGTTTTTCTATATTTTTTATTTTTAAATTTTTTTTGTTATTAAACAGAACTAATAACTTTAGTTATAGTTAATTTTTCATTTAATGGTATTTAGATTGAAGCAAAAAATTGTGATTTGATTTTCAGAATCAAGATCGACTGTTATGGAAACTGGGAACATTGCCACCTGGTTTAATAACCTTCTGGAACCGGACTTATGGTCTCGACAAATCTTGGCACGTTTTGGGGCTCGGTTACAATCCGAATGTGCCCCAAAAGGAAATCGATCGAGCGGCCGTAATACATTTCAACGGCAACTTGAAGCCTTGGCTCGAGATCGCCATACCAAAGTTCAGAGGCTACTGGCAGAAATTCGTGGATTACGATCATCATTTTCTGCGTGAATGCAACATTGCTCAATAGGTTCCGTTTTACGCAATTTTATAATTCGAAGGTTTTCGAGCAATTATAAGGGAGTTAGGTATATAAATTTAATTATTTCTTAGCTGGGAGTAGTTATTGTCAGGTTTTTATTCTGTGATTTGGAGAATTTTATTTTTGATGTATGATGTAGAGCTGGTGAAGGGTACCAGTGAATGATACAAAGGTGNATTGAGTTTTAGAAGTCACTTATGGGAAGATAATAATTGGGATAAATGCTGGCTGTTGTTAGGCAAACCCAACGTTAACATAACCACATTTTCAATATATTTATATGTACTAGTATTCGATTTTGTTCACATGCACAGATGTTTAAATTATCATAAAGTTATATGTATGTATATAAAATTAAAATTATAAGTTAAATAGTAGTATCACATTTACAAAAAAAATCATTATTGAAAATGATTATAAAATTATTGAACTTCATCTCTATATTGATTGCATAAAATAAAATGAATAATGTAGTGTGTATAAATTTGAGAGATACTAAGCTATTAATTATCATAAAAAGTATTATTATTATTATTATTATTATTGATAATAATAATAAGTTGTTTGGTTATACCACTAAAGTCAATTAAAATTATTGTGATAATATAATTCATAAGATGTTTGGTCAACATTCCTTGAAAACCGGATTATCCTAATTGTCACCAATTAAATTTATTATGATCTGAGTAGTGTCCAGATTATGTAATTAGTGTGAAAAAAATGATTAATGCTGGTCAGTAACGGTTTTTGGCAGGAAAGTGTCACGTAAGTATAATTAAATAAGTTTTATTTAATGTTTACAACATTTTAATTAGACAAACCGACACTTGGGCAACTCAATTTTTCAACTTATATCATGTAACATGTTTTCAAATTGAAATGTTATATTTAAAAATATCACATTTCATATTATAGATATATATTAATTAAAATAAATATGACGTGTTGAACAATTTTTCAACATATATACACACAACATATTTTTAAACCAAAATGTTATATTTTAAAAAAAAAATACAAATAAAAGTATTATATTTCCTAATATAAGCATGTATTTATCATTCATTTATTAAAAAATAATACAAATGTTATATCTTAATGTTACATTTACACCAAAGACAAGAAAGTTACAGCTAGCTCACGTATAGCCGCCAATATCCAACCCACCCCATTATCATTCATTTATTAATAATTCATTAAAAACTGGCAGTATCATTCATTCATTCGTTACAAAACACAAATTCATTCAAACATGTTATGGAGGATGAAAAAGATGTTTTCTTTTTAACGTATTTTTTTATATACGAGGCTTATATACTATATCATAATTTATATATTTTATAAACAACATTTCAATATAAAAATTTGCATGTATGTTAGAAAAAATACGATAATTTTACCGCTAAGAGTAGATTTTCTGTTAGACTATCTAATAATTGGATAGTTATACTATTTAAATAAACATGCTTAGTTTCTTATTGAGGTTATATTTTAAAATGAGAAAATTACAATTTTAGTCCAGTAACTTAGGCTGTTTCCCACTTTAGTTCAGTAACTTGGACCGATGCAAAATTGGTCCAAAAACTTCTAAAATGTAGTTAAATTAGTCCAATTCCGGTCCCCGTCGCCGGAATCCGATCGGAATGTGCTGAGTTGGCAATTCGGATTCCGGCGACGGGGACCGGAATTGGACTAATTTAACTGCATTTTGGAAGTTTTTGGACCAATTTTGGATCAACCCAAGTTACTGGACTAAAGTGGGAAATAGCCTAAGTTACTGGACTAAAATTGTAATTTTCTCTTTTAAAATTCATTAAATTTTCTGTTAGATTATCTAATAATTGGATAGTTATACTATTTCAATAAACATGCTTAGTTTCTTATTGAGGTTATACTTTAAAATTCACTAAAAGCAAAAAATGTGATGATAGTTTATACTAGAAGTATGCATTAATTCTATTAAAGAAAATATGGTTGTCTAACGATTAGACAGTCTAACAGCAGTATTTCTGAACCACATTAAACACGATTAATCATAAACATAAACATTTTTCCCCTTTGTTTTCTTAAATGAGAATGATGTCTTTTAATCATACGTTCTTCACATTAACAAGGCGAGTATAACGTACAAACTACTTAAAGACCCCATTTTAGAGCAAGTTTTATAACATATAGTAAAGGTAATTTTATGTCGTAGGCTTCTTAAAGTGATTAGCCACTCGTATATTAAAGTAATATTTGTGTGACAAGCTCGATCATGTGCTAATAGGTAATGAAACTTGACTATTTAGCTAATATATACTCTACTCTATTATATATCACCCATTCACCTTGCAATGTTAAATTCTTATTTGATACAACTAATCGTTAGGCATTTCAACCTGTTTTAAGGTTGTTGTTTTAGATAGATCTAATGGTTAGACAATCATACATTTTCAACAAATATATATACTATTAAGCTGAAATGACATACTCTAAAACATGACATAAATAAAAGTATGACGTGTTATAACACAAATACGCATTTATTAGAAAAGTATGACAGGTCGATCAACCAAATGGTTATGCCTCCTCACGCCACATTTTTTTATGTAAATTCCTTAGGGTACATAAAATTTATGTTTGGTAAACCTAGTTGAAAAACTAGCTGATAACGTGTAAATGAATTTTAAATTTATGGCTAATGACTGAAAAACTACTTGATATAATAAAAGTATTTTGTAAAATTAACTAATAAGTCAGTTGAAATAAAATTTTCAATCGACTTATATTGAAAAACTACATAAGAAAGGTTATGAGAAAAGATTCAATTTTTTTAAAAAAATTTATCTTACCAAACATATTTAAATACAATAAATTTATAAGCTAAATAAATAAGTTTTAAACTAACTTATGGCGTTTACAAAATGCACTCAAACTTTCAACAAAGAGAATAACCGTATAAATTTCGTGGAATAAAAACTAAACAAAAATGGGCTGGTAATAAAAAGGCTAACATGGGCCTAGTGTAGGTAAGGAGTAAAACAAAAGGAGGCAAAAGCCCAAAACTACTTTACAATTTAAAATTCCACTAAAAAGTCGGGTTTCCGGGCCGGGCATCCCCACCCGAAGTATTGATTGGGGACCAAACCGACCAATCTCTTTGCTTTTGCACTTTTTCAGGTTTGCTAGCCTTAATGAAATGTGACTGAATCAAATAGCCTTTGATAAGTAAATATTTATTATTTCTTTTATTGAAATTTGTCATTTATATTAGAAAGCCACATTATGTTTTCTTTTATTGAAATTTGTTTTCCTTTTATATATATTTTTATCTCCCAAATTTTAGTTCTTCAAATAAGTTTACAATATCTACACAAACTCAACCAATTGGGTCACTGAATGGGATGTATCTGTATGTTAAAGTATAACGTTCAATATTAGAAAAGGTGTAAATTTTTAGCTTACTTCATTCTTTTTCTTTACATGTTATTTAAATAGATGGTTGCTTTAAAATTTTGAACAAATAAAGTATAAAAAGAAGATCCAGTCAAACTGAAAATGAAAAACTCCTAAATCTTAGTGTATATTCATTAAATTAATGAAAATGATTAGAAGCAGCGAAAGCCTGAGTAACAATGATAAGAGGATCTTTGATCTAAATCAACACCTCGATCACCTACATAATCACTTGTATTAAAAATTTAAAATGCAAAGGAGCAAAGTTTAAATAGACATTTTGAACTTTTTGACTAAATATTTACTAATTTTAATTGGTTGAGACCAGACAACATGGATATTTTGTTGTATTTTATAGCAATTGTAATATATCTATTGTCATTAAAAAATCCATATTTTTTTTTAAAATAAAAGGAATAAAAAATTACATTTACCTGAATAAACAGCTAAAATGGTGTGTTGTACATAGTTTGCTAAACAAAACCGAGTTGTTCGTGAGATTAGCTATGCTTGTTTGATAAACGAGTCAAACTCAAGCACATCTAAGAGACGTTTAGTTAAACGGGTAGAACTCGTTGGACTTGAACAATAATGATTTTTACTTAATTTATGAATTTCTAATATAATTCAACATATTAAGGTTGCAACTCGACTCGTTGGCAAACTATAAGCCCGAGCTCGCTTATCAGCTCATTAACTTATTAACACACATCTCGACGTGCCTCAATAAGGGCTCAACCTCGAGCTTGTTGACAGCTCCAATTATATAGCAAAATTCAAATGACCATATATAAACATAAATGAAATAAATAATAAAAATAATTGTATGATCAAGATAGGTCAAGTTGAGGTTACACAATATGTCTTTAATCTTTTGATTCTTTTGAGGGGCAATAGCTGTGGGAGCACTACAAGAAAAGGGGCAAAGGAAAAGGGATTTCCAACAAGCAAAATAAACAAATAAATTGATATATATATAAATTTTCAAAAGAAAAGAAAAGAAAAAGCATTAAATCCTGTCAACAATTAGCTTTAAAACACACACAGTCCATTGCCCAAACTTTTGCCATGAACCAAATGCTTTTATCCTTTGAAAACTGAACATCTTTGAGGTCTTTTGGAAAACCAAAATGACTTGACTGGAAAGTTGAGAAGTTTCTTGAGGTTTAAAAATTTTGTACTTCATGACAAATAATTGTCCTTCAAGAATTCACTTTATGAAATCAATCAAAAATAATTCATGTAGAAATTCACATGTGGCAGCATGTTATTAGAAAATCAAATATAGGGTTTAATATATTAAAATATAAATATGTAGGTAACTACTAACTAGCATTCTATATTTCTCTCTCTCTCTCTTCTTTCACATATATTTCACTTTTTTTCTTTTTTGNGACCATATATTTAACATAAACTGAAAAATTCTTTTTTGATAAATTAGCAAACAAGCACTGACTATATTTTGCAATTACAAATTTTAAATAGTCAAATTTAAAACAAAAAATAAATGGGACACAGGACTATATAAATGAAGCATATATATGGCCCCTTTCCCAGTAGCTTCCTGCACAACAAACTCAGATTCCGGTAAAGAGATGGTGCATCAAAACTCAATCTTGTTTCATAACTAAAGTGTGAGAGAGAGAAGAGGAGAATATATCATATGATAATAATCTGAAAAAAAAAAAAAAAAGATTATCTTTTCTTGTTTTCTTCAGCTGCGAGCATTCAAACTGTAAGATAATATCAAATTTTCCGGCGGCACAGGCGGCGGAGATGGGCGGCGCGTCGTGGAAGCTGAAGAAAGCCGCCAAGAAAATATTTGGCCTTCGGACATGTGCCTCTTTGTGCAACACACAAGCTCTTGTTGTCCACAAATCCCCTGTAAATCTCTGTCTCTTTTACTCTCTGTTTTTTCATACAATTTTTGCTTCTTTTTATCCCATTTACTGATTTATTTTGTTTAATTTTTTTTATTTTTTTCGAAAAATAGGTATCTTGTTCCATAAATTCTTGCGAGAACACTAAAGTCTCATCAGAAAATCCAGCGCAAGGCATTTCTAGTAGCAGCCCTTGTTCAAATAAGGTATCTTTTCTTGTTTTCTCTACTCCCACTTTTATAATGTAGTGATCATTGAATCCTTGCCATTATTAAAATCACATTTTTCTTTTATATATATCAAATAATGCATTTTTTTTTTTTTCGTTTACACAGAACCTATGCACGATATGCCTCGACCCATTAACCGGAGGTCGGGCTATATTCACGGCCCAATGCACGCACGCCTTCCATTTCTCGTGCATCACGTCCAACATCAGCCACGGCAGCCTGACCTGCCCCATTTGCCGGGCCCATTGGACCCAACTGCCCAAGACCCCACGAACCCACTGCCCGGTCCACAACACCGCTGCCCGTGAAATCGGGCCTTTCCGGCGAATCCGCTGCCCGGTCGAAACGGGCCCCACCACCGCCTCCCGAGCCCGACTCTCTTTCTCTCTCCTCAACCACCCGAGCACCGGGTTTTGCTACCTCCGAGTAAAGTTGGATCATCGACCGCCAATCGACTTGGTATTGGTCGTCGACGACTCCACGGTTGAACCGCGCCATCTGAGCCTCGTGAAGCGTGCCATGGCCTTGGTGGTCTCGTCTCTGGGCCCCACCGACCGCCTGGCGATAGCCGCACGCTCGGGAGTTTCCGCACTGAGGAGCATGACGCCGTGCGGAAAACGAATTGCGCTGAGAATCGTCGATCGTCTGTCGTGCGCGGGCGGGCCCGCGGACGAGAGGCTCGCCGAGGAGGTGCTCGAGGGCCGTTATCGCAAGAATCCTCAGACGTGCGTCGTTCGCCTGACGTGGGGCCCGCATGGACCTCACGAGGGGCTCGTTTCGGAAGATTCGTCTGTTGTCGTGCGACGGTTAGGGTTTGGACTCGGGGGTTGTGGCGGGTCGTCGGCGGAGGTTTTGAACGAGTTCGAAGGGTTTCTGGCGAGGACGATCGGTGGTCTGGCGGAGGATATTCGACTGAGGATTGGGAATCGTGGGGTGATTGTGAGAATAGGAGAGATGAGGGGTGGGGAGGAGAGGAATATTCCGGTGTGTCTCGACAAGTGTGGACGAATGCGCGTGGAGTATAGTTACAGTGAGGGCTCGTCGTGCGTTAAGACGGGGGATGTTGTTGGGATTGAAGGAGATAAATGGTATGTAGATTGTGATGGTGTTGTGGTGGATAGAAGCTCAAGAAACTATGGAAATTGGGGTTTTGATGATAATGATGATGGTGATGAATTTACACCAAGGAGATTGTCTAGGCATTTGCATGGGATGTGGCCATGAAGAGGAAAATGTGATTTCTATTTCATTGAATTCAATTCATAGCTAATGTTGCTTTCTTCTTTTCCATCTTTGGATCAAGATTTTGTCCTCACATTGCTAGCCATGTAATGTTGTTTCTTCTTACAGATTTGTCATTTACAAGCTTCATTCAAGCTAGAAAAAAATGAATTTTTGGATTAAAAAAGTATATATATGACCGAATTCATGAATCATGGTGACACTCGTACACTTTGAAATCGCTGTAGAGCAATGACCCGTTTGAATAGTGAAGCATATAATAACAAACATCGCAAAAATAGCACGGGTTTGCTGCGGCCCATTTGTCGTCCACCGTCATCTTATCTGCACGGTAGATTTTGCAGACCGAACATTTTCTGTAACGGCTTTTCGACTGAAGCGTGATGAGTGGATAAGCTGCTCGGTTTTGTACGTCCTCCGCATGAATTAAACGCATGTCGCGTATAACAATTACGTGCTTGCAATCCCCCTAGTGAAAACAACAAGTAAATATATACTTTCAAGAATTTTACATGCTTTGGCTTCTAGACAGATTATCTTTTACTGTCCAATGGAAAGAGAGAGAGGAGAGAGAGAGAGAGAGACCTGATGACAATAAAGATATCCAGCACCAAGACGAAATCTCAAGTCACAAAATCTTGTACGCTGCATGAGAACAGATCTTAGCCTTGGCAATTGCAACTGCTGTTTACTTTCACTGCCGAAAAGGACCTTTTGCTTCTGTTGCAATTCACCGGAAACAATGGATTCCCACTTCTCGAGTGCATCATCTTTTGAGTTTTTAAGCCAATCAAGAATCGGCTTGCTGTAGTCTATGGCCGAGGACTCTCGCGTGTCATTACAAAAGACATCCTGTAAGACACCATTTGTAATGTGGTTAACAAGCAGGTTTTACTTTCGTGAGAGAGAGAGAGAGAGAGAGAGAGAGAGAGAGAGAGATTACTTCTATGAAGAAGTAGCCTGAAGGATCACACTGTCCCGCCTTCTTCATTATCTCGTCTGTCGAACAATATATCTTATCTCTTACTTCGGACAAAAATTGCCGTCCTAGAACCAAGAATTCTTGGGTCTAATAATAAAAGGTAGACAAGTCATTAGCTCAAGACGGATGTAAATAACGGATAAGGAGAAAAAAGGAAGAAAAATAAAAAGAAAGACAGAGAAAAAGAAGAAGAATTTTGCAAAATATGTTCCTTCTTCTGAAGACAATCAGGGTTAATACAAAAATTTACCTTGAGATTTTATTTTAGTTAAAAAAAAAAATAAAAATGTGCCCCTTCATATTGGGTGCATATAATAATAATACCTTTAAGGAGTATTGGCAATTATCCTAAAAGAAAGTTGAGGATTCTTTAGAAGTTAGAGAAGTACAATCGGGTAATCCACTAGATACAGATTGTTTGCCCAATGGAGTTTAGTAATGACGACCACAACAAAAATTATCCAGGGTAATTTACAATATAAATATAAAAGATTCATCCAGATGAGATTACAGTATAGATATGCTTAATCTTTGTAAATGATATGAATACAAGCCAATGCTTCACCCCTTTTGGTAGTGTTATATATTAATCTGTCCTATATATGTATGTAGCATAAAGATATGCAAAGCAATTCTACTTAAACGTCACCAACAACAGCATATTAGTCGATCAGCATATATGCAGCTTAAATAAGGACTCTCTAACGAAAATGATTTCACCAGAATCACATAAATAGTCTTATCACATATTCTTTCGTCTTTTGTTCCGCAATCCCTTTAGTACCTCATTTTTTATTTCTTTTGTTCTCTCTATTTTTTTCATCTTATACTTATTTTTCTTTTTTCATCACATTAATGGTTTATTGCTTTTGCCATCATTAGACACATTAAAATTTTTCATATAACAATATCTCAGTCAACTTACCTAACATGCTTTAAACTGAAGGAGACAAAGTACCCGGATATGGATATATAATCACATCAATACGATAAAAAGCCAAATAGTCAGTTTGGGTGATTGATAAGTACAAAGTACCTTCCACCATGTTTTCCTGCTATGATAAACTTCAACGCTCAGGAGTGTCTCAGGATATTGTACTGGCACGTTATCAGTGGTACTTGAGGCCCTCACCTGAGTTGATCCATCAAATAAGAGAAGGAAAGGATTAGTAAACATCAATACATAAAGCTTGACTTTATTAGTTTATTCCAGTAGTTGACAATATCATAAGCCATCTCATAAACTATATAAGGGGAAAAAAAGTAATACTAAAACTCATAATTTTTGTGGAACCTGACTGCTGAGCAGCACGCTCCACACTGATATCATATTTCTACATTCAATCCAGCAAATAGTAGAAATAACTAAAAGAAATCTAAACAGTCACAAGTTTGATTAGCATGAAAATTCTAAATTAATTTCTACATACAAAGGGTCATGCATGAGCAGAATGGTAAAATGGGAGAAAGAAAGATGACAAACCTTGGTTGAAACACTCCCAGATTTGAGAGATCTTATCTTCTCAGCTTTTGCATATGCACCATTTCCAGGTTCCCTTGAACCACTAGTGGAAGAAAAGGATCAACGAAAAATACAAACAAACATAATGTATGAAAATCTGGCACAAAAGTTTGAAAAATGCTTACTCAAATGAATGCAATCTCACAGTTGCTTTATCTTCTTCTTGTTTTCGTTTTATTCTAGCTAATTCTTCAACCTTGGCAAGATAGCTTTCCTGGCAAAAAAAGAGATCGGATATAAACACAAAATAACAGATAAAACATATAAAATAATAGTCACTAAGCTAATCATCCGCACATCAAAATCCTTGCTCTTTTTATTTTTGCGCTTCCTCTTTGTCTGTTTCCCTGAAGGATTCTGCTTCGATTTTTTACTCCCACGGGTTTTACGAGGCACGGCATTTGAGGATGCACTTGAAACCAACGCTTTCGTATCCCCTTCTGAATTTTGCAACGAACCAAGCTCAAAACCAGCTGCACAGTTACCATCTGTTTTACCAAAAACTTCATATATATTAAAATCTGGGTGCATCTAATCTAATTTGCCCACATTCTACCAAGTGAAGTGCAGCAAATTACCATCCAGTAAATGAAAAAACTGTAAAAGAAGACTAGCTATAAGATAAATAGAGGCCTAAAAACCACGAGTTTTAAAATATTGAGAACCACAACAAATCAAAGTTCCTTTCTAAAACTAAAACACATACATTTGCCCAGAACAAAACTAAGAAGAAGATCTATGTTCCCCCAAAATGAGGTGTATAAATCATCTGAGCTTTAATCTAATGGTCCTAGGTACTGAGATTTCAATGTTTCTTGGTATATAATAAGCGCCAGAACGCAAATATTTCAAGTAATATAAATTCAATCATATTGTGGGACAATACAGAGGAAAAGAACATCAAATTATCCTTCATTCATTTTGGATTGCGGGGGATATAGAAGCAGAAACTGAAAACATATAAGGAATAATATATGATGGTATCAGTTTCAACATATTCCCTGTTATAGATGAGTTTGTCCATAATACCATATTTTCAGACGTTACCTAAAAAAAAGTCATAAAAACACGGAGGAAACATGTTCTAAGTTACCTGACTTGGGACTCAACTGCTCTTGTGTAGCTTGCGATTGCGAAGCATCCGTGGCCAAGCGACCATCCTGTTGTCATCATAAAAAAAAATGCGAGACAAAGCTAAATCATTTATCGAAAGTTGAGCTAAGCACTAGGCAGCAGGCTTTGTAAATAAATTCCAGAGCAGTTACCTTGAAAGCTTCTGCAAATGCTTTGTTCACTAACTCATCTTCTGTAATTATTTTGAGTTCATCAACCCTGAAAATTTCAGACACTCAAAGACTTCAAAATTAAAACTGGACACAGCACTGAATATCAGTCATAGCCAAAGGAAAGTCCCCTGGAGATACTTCATTGATCAAATGCAGTGAATCCATTCAAAACTGAAGGAATATATGTAATTTGATATTATAAACATCACCACACAGCTTCATTATGCAATTCTCTGCCATAACATCTCTAATAAACTCAGAACTCAGTAATGAATGTTAATGAATTGATTTAAAAAGGATTCTCAATCCTAGAGGTACCGGATGTCTCATCAATTTGTTCCCAAGAATAGATAAGGTTGCTTCAAAATTGAATTATGGTCCAGCATCAGACAAATGAATGTAGCTGTGAAAAAGAGAAAAGCATAATCGAACCAATTTGGTCCCCTATCTTAAACAATCTAATGAGACAACAAAGATAGAAAGCAAGTAATACTAACGAGACATCTTCATCACACGCTTCAGTAGAGTCTCTAGATAGCTCCTCCTTCAGACTCTGTGAGATGATTAAAAAATTGATCAATAAGAAATTACGAAAGAGAGATAGAAAACTACATCAGACTAAGATAAACACATCAAAACAACTAGAATACCTGAAGTTCTTGAAATATAGATGTTTCGAAGTCTGAGACTCTTGTAAGTGGGCCTATGCTGTCAGGAACATATATTGGGCCGCCAAGCGGAATAGAAACATATATGTCCTCTCCACCTTCTTCATGACCCAACATCTATGCAGACTTCTAAATCTATGGATGAAGAGGTCAAAAGGGCAAGAAATGGATAAATAAAAAACATTTCAAAGACTGAGTTACATAATTTCAGCTATAAAGTATAAAACTACTTAGAAATTACTGAAAACCTACTTTCATGATGCATCATTAGCTAGATAATCTCGCAAAAGCTGCAGAAAAGGGCAAGTAATACGTATCATAAAATGGTAACATGATAAGCCAATTAGAATATATATAACCATTAACCACCAATGTCGATGAAAAATAGCTTGAGCAAAACAGACAGCCAATCACGAATTCATGATCACATTTCATAGTTGCGAGAAAGCTACACACAGATAAAGGCAACAACATAGCACTGATTTCAAATCATCAAATAAAAGGGAGAAAAAAGAATAATAGAGAAAATCAAGACGATAATCAAGAATAGTAACATGAACACATGCTCATTCTATAGAAAATTATGAACCAAACGATAATTGGAGTAGACATGTCAAAACGGGGCCGACAAATGCGGCTACAAAAGTGCTAGCCCGACCCACACCCACCGAGGCCTAAGCGGGCCAGCCAGCAGCTGAAATATAAAACAAATTAATAAAAACCAAGAAAAACGGCCTGCCTCTCAACACCTTTAACTAGCCATGGTAAGTTCCTCTTGGAAAAAGAAAACTGGGAGCAATCAATTACAGGTAAAAACTAACACATGGAGCAATGCATAATCAAAAGACGAGCCAAGATAAAACCCTAATTGAATTAACCATACCCACGTCAAATAGCCAAAGTTCCGAATTCAATGCCTGTCAATTTCAGAGGAGCTGGAGAGGAAATTTGCAGAGTACCGGGAGCAGGAAAGCTGAATTTGAGAGAGTAGCGCTCGCCGGCGACCTATGGAGAGCGGTGGAGAAGCTGGCGGTGTGGTCGTCTTCGGCTTGCCGGGTGGGGCGGTGACTGAGGCTGAGGGTGGTCGGGTTGCTGTCGGCCGGCGGGAGTCTGACAATGGGAATGTGATTTGTGGATTCCGCGGTTAATTTTAGTCTTAATAAATAAAATTTTATGATCTTTCTTTTTCACATTAGATTTTTTTTTTTTTAAACTAAAAAGTTGTTTATTTTTTTTAAAAAATTAAATGCATATTTTATTTTCGTCAATCAGCCTTGAACAACGGCTCCAACTAAGACTGTAATCGAATCGAGTCGAGTCGAATATTGACCTGTCAATTGCAAATCGATTTTTTCTCTATTGAACTCGAGTAGAAATAAGAATGCTCGAGTTCGACCGATGCTTAAGATATATTTGATGCTCGACATGGCTCGAGCTCTGCTCGAAATTTAACAATTAAAATGGAAATATAAAGGTACCATTTTTACTAAATAGACAATTTTTCCCTTGGTGTTCTAATATTGATAATCAAACTATATTGGGGTATTTGATGTAGGGATGCGTACGAGTGGGACCATAAACGAGATACTCTCTCGATAACTCACAATCAACTCATATTCTTATTCATAATCAACTAATGAAAATAAACTAGAGGCAGTACTTTTATATAAGGCTCCTAACCCTAAATTTTAACTTGTCCAACAAGACAAGAACTCTTATTAAATATTAAACAATAATATTAAATTACTAACTTACTCTCTAAGATACCTATTAAATAATAATAATAATAATAATAATAATAACAACAACAACAATAATAATAATAATAATAATAATAATAATATATATTAATCTACACCATTCTCTCCCGGTTCGGAAGGCTTCGCCCTCGAAGCCGATGTGCTCCCGTGGCCGGCGTGTGGTGTCGAACTCATGGTAGGAAACCCCTGTCGTTTCCCCCGGTCGAACACGAAGGATGAATGTCGTCCAATAATCCCGATGGTAAACATAATCATGGGCAAGGATTGAATTACTGCAAAAGCACATGTACACGCCTCCATATGCATAACCCACACAGTGGAGTTAACACCAAACATACCACATCGTTCACCGCACTCAAATCCATAACTACGGCCAAGCATCTCGTTGTTGAGAGACTTCGGGATAGACAATCAGAAAATGGCCCACCAGTTATTGAGTCTCGGAGTCGGCTCCCAAAAACCATCGTTGGCCAAGATACTCCAAACATCGGGTTTCAATGACAGCATCCCCGTCAAATGCTCAACTTCTGCGACATCCCGCGGGACCCATATTGCTGCAAAAATATGTCTTCGTCCACCGGAGGCTCCTCATCAAAAATAGAGGGACTGTCGTACAATGGCCCGTCATCTTCCTCAAAAATTGCACTTTGTTGCTGCACATCTTAGTCGTCGTGCGCAACAACGAGCTCACTCTCGACGGGCGGAGGCGGCCACTCTCCGGAGGGATCCACCTCCGATATGGTCTCCTCGCTGTCTGCATCGCCGGACGGCGGTTGTGGAGATCGCCGACGGGGCGCCCCGCCTGGAACACGACCTCCACACTTCCTCCGTGAACTCCCCCACGCACACCCCGGTCGCCGGCGGCACGGTTCATCTGCAAATTCTAAATCACGTTGTTAAGTGTCAAATGCAAATCCTCGATCTCTGTTGAAAGATCTGCAAACCAATCCGTGAAACGCACGTGCAACTGTTCAAATTGGTAGTCGATCTGTTGAAACCGATCGTTGAAGGTCACATCACGTTGTTTGTTTGCGACATCTTGTCGTCCCGACGACATCGCGAATCGAACTGACTGCTAACACCAACTGATGTAGGGATGCGTACGAGTGGGACCATAAACGAGATACTCTCTCGATAACTCACAATCAACTCATATTCTTATTCATAATCAATTAATGGAAATAAACTAGAGGGAGTCCTTTATATAAGGCTCCTAACCCTAAACCTTAACTTTTCCAACAAGACAAAAAACTCTTATTAAGTATTAAACAATAATATTAAATTACTAACTTACTCTCTAAGACACCTATTAAATAATAATAATAATAATAATATAGATACTAATCTACACCAGTATTTATGTAAATAAAAAGTCGAACAGCTCATCGAGCTTACGAGCCTCTTGAAATGATGCTCGAAGCTCTACTTGTTTGCTCGTTAAATTGCTTGAGCTCAAGTTTAACCGAGCTCGAATCGAGCATTGGCTCGAGCTCTCGTGAGCCGCTCGACTCACGCCATTGTGCCCTATTTAATGAACCCTAATTTAGATCGAGAGTTACAAGGTCCACGTCAAGAAGCCGTAAAGAATTGGCGTCCGTTGTGCCCTAATGAACCCTAATTGCAGAATAGGTCGCTCCCGATATGAATTGGTAGATGCCGAGAAGATGACGACGAGAACCCATGTCGGGAGCTACGGGGTCCACACCAGGAAGCCAGAAAAAATTGTCGTCCTCCGTGCCCTAATGAACCCTATTACTGAATCCCTCGTAACCTCCCTAGTTGGGCCACGACGTCCATGAACGCTTGTGGAGCTGCAGGGTCCACACGGCTCGTTAGATCTGGCGGCCGCCGCGACCCTGCTGGAATTGGACTGCTGCGGCGGTGGGGAAGGCAGCGCGTAGGGGTCAAATATGTCCTAAGGCAGGGCCAAATCTAGGGTGATTAGGATATGAGACAGAGGCGTGAGCTCCAACGACGACATATTTGTTGCAAAATCACTAGACGAAATAATTGCTGGAAATTGTTGCAAAAATTAGTAGGACAAAATTGTAGATAGTGATGAGATTTGAGATGGGCCTGAGGGATAAAATTGTATTTTCTGACAATTCTATTCATTGATTCCACATATGTAAACGCACTGCTATTTTGGATAAACAAACATCATATACTGTAAACGACAGATAAAAGTCCAACTCAAACAATAACCTTGATTATATAGTCCATCATCTTTAGTAAATGAGGCTTGGGAAAAACATATATCTCTTGGACCAGCCTAATGTTGTCAAAACAAACGAGTTTGGCTTGACTCGGCTGGGTTCAGCTTGTTTGATAAACGAGTCGAGCTCAAGCTCATTTAAAGCTCGTTTGATTAATGAGCTCGGCTCAGCTCGACTCGACAAGGTTTGTTAAGACTCGAAAAAAAAGATTTTATACAATTTTGTATAGTTCGACTCGTTAAAATTCTAGATCGGCTCGTTAAGGCTCAAACTCGGCTTGTTATTAGTGATAAACGAGCCGAGCTCGAGCTCGATTTCACTTATTTATTAACGAATCGAGCTCGAGCACCCTAAACTCGAGTTCGGCTCGGTGCATTTACAGGCCTAGACCGGCTCAAGAACTTTTACCTACAACAAATATTATATTAAATTTAGTTTCAAATGCTCATATTATTTCGTATCTTATCATATCATTTATTTTTATAATTATATTGTGTAATTTGATTTTCACGTTGTCCCTACAACTAAAATATTCTGCTATTCATGGATTTATTCATGATCATTAATAGATCAAATTCAAAGCTTGACCACAATAATTAGTATATATAAATAATACTCTTGAAAAATGGGTCGTAATAGTTATTTAATAACTAAGTATACTTTAATAAATTCCATACGGTAAGATTTTTATTGGACTGTATATTGAAGTTTGTAAAAGTTAAATTTATTGTACCCAAAAAAAAAAGTTAAATTTAATAAAGAAATATTTATTGGGACATCAAACTTCAAAGCGTATGGAATGTTGCATATATAAAGGTTGTAACTTTCTACTGTTATGATCAAAACTATATAATATAATACATACTATTATACAGTTTTTTTTATTATAAATATTAATTTCTATGTATAATCTACATTGTTATACATATTAATATTTTTAAATAATTTGTATATCATTTGGTATTATGTTATTATCACGTACTATGTGCAAGTTCTAATTATTAATAAATCCATTCCTTACACTTTCTTTCCCAAAATATTTACATTTTATCAATAAAACCATATACAAATTGCACAACTAGAAATTTCATTTACCACAATACTTTGTCAATATATAAAATATATAAATAATTATTATCACTAAAAGAATAAATAGCCACCTGAGCTGCAACCCATTTCGTCATAATTCAGCCCTTTTCCCAATTGAGCTGTGAACAGATCCCTATCACTGATTTTGATGACGGAGATCTCGGCCTAATCGTCTCGATCGGAGTATCCACAGTCCGATTTGTCGTTTCTTTTTTCGTTCTACAGTTATTTTTCCGGCTCAAAATTACGTTGACAGTCGAAGGAATTGAAGGTTCGCATTGGAGCTTGTAGTTTTTCAGTCATATGGTTTGTTTGTTGCAGCTCAATTATGGTGTCCGGTGCTTTGTTGTTGATTGATTTTTTTGTTTTAATTTGGTTCAATTTGTTTTTTTCTCATTAGGTTTTCGAAGTGAGAGCGGTAGTTCAGGTGAAACTGTTTGAATAATTGTGTCGTATATAGGTTTTTGTCTCAATTTGTTGTTTTGATTTTTGCCACGACGAACTTTTTCTTGTTATCCTTTTTGGAAATTTTCATTTTTTTTTTCTGGATATCTCAAGCTCGAACCTTTTTCCTTAGTGTGGTTTGAAATGAATTTGTTGTTTTGTGCAGTACTATATTAAAGGTCAGTGATTGGGGTGTAATCCATTGGCTAGACGTAAATGCTTTTACTCAATTTCGTCTTGCATACTTAAAAATCCATGCTTTTGTCTGATTGCAGGTGATTGTATATGTATTCTAGTTAGATAGTGCTTGCGAGCATAAAACTAGATAGAAAAAATAAATAGTGAGAAATATTCTGTACAGAAGAAGTTATGGATTATGCGCCTGGTGACGATTATGAGATGGGTGAAGTAGAAGACATGTATTATGGTGATGGGCTGATGGCAGAGTCAGAGTCTGATGAGGAAGATGAGGATGGATATGATCAATTGGTGAGTTCAATGCGCACTTCATCATCCTTTCCGGTTGATGTAATTGTTAATTTCGAATTTCACAAATTTCAGTTTTTTATTTATTTTTTAATTATTATTTTTCTCTGGTGATGTGAATTTACTTACATGTGGAATTAGGACAAGATTACGGATACCTCTGCTGCTGAGGCGCGGAAAGGGAAGGATATCCAAGGGATTCCATGGGACAGGTTAAGCATATCCAGGGAGCAGTATAGACAGACAAGATTAGAACAGTACAAGAATTATGAGAATATTCCACAATCTGGAGAGGGATCAGAGAAGGTAGCGCGGAGTTTCAAATAGTTGCGGTACCATTTTCTGACATAGTAACTTGATGCTTACGTGATGTTCTTTTATTTTTTGGATTTGTTAGGACTGTAAAGTAACGAGGAAAGGAGGTGTGTATTATGAGTTCTGGCAGAACACTAGATCTGTAAAATCAACCATTCTTCATTTTCAAGTAAGTATATGTGCTCCATCTGACTTTTTCTGAATGTCTTGTCTGTTTTATTATAAATGATGTTACCTGTCATATTTTCTATTATCTTGTTTGGCGTTTTTATGAGTTTATGAATGCTAATTCAATTCAAGTTGCTTAACGTCATTGCAGTTGAGGAATCTGGTCTGGTCGACCTCAAAGCATGATGTTTACCTCATGTCTCATTATTCCATAATTCATTGGTCATCGTTGACTTCTAAAAAGACTGAAGTTCTTAATGTCTCTGGTCATGTGGCTCCCAGTGAGGTGCATCTCTTGCAATATCTTATTTTTGCGCATCTTCTGTTTTGTTCCCCTTTGGGTGTTGTGTTATCTCGTCTGACATATTCATTTTACAGAAACACCCTGGAAGTTTACAGGAAGGATTTACTCAGACACAAGTTAGTACTTTGGCTGTGCGTGATAATCTGTTGATTGCGGGAGGATTTCAAGGGGAGTTAATTTGCAAGGTAATTCTCTCATAATGAAATCTTTGTTGTGGTATGGGCCTTCCGATGTTAGATATGGTGCATCCCCCTCGTAAGGCAGTTATCGATGAATGATGATACACTCATCACAAAATATTGCTTGAGGAAAAAAAAATTCAATTTGCGTGAACTTTTTCATTGCCAAGTCTACTGGCCAAGAGATAACTGGATTTGGCCAATTTATGTTGAGAGCTCATTGTTTGAAGCTAAATTATCCCATTTATTCGGATTTATTCCAGTCATATATAAGGAAATAGAATTTTTCCCGTTCTACAAATAATGCTTAGGATACCTTCCAAACTATCTCTCCGAAAAGTAGCTGGATGAAGTATTTGTCATTTGATGCAGGATCTTGATCGACCTGGTGTTAGCTTTTGTACAAGGACAACATATGATGATAACGCTATCACAAATGCAATTGATATATATGATGGTCCAAGGTGAACCTTCTCTAACTTAACACTGAATCAGTTTTTCTTTTCTTCCCGATATCTATCCGAAGCAAAAACTTGATCTGCTGCAGCATTTGATCATCCTTCATTTGGGCTTATCAAGTGGGTCTATGAGCAATTAATTGCATATGATTGTTAATTATATATATGCAGTGACAGGTCACTTGACAATATCAGAGTTTGTAACTTGATATCATCTAACTAGCCCATAGGTGAAGATTTGTTGTTGTTATGTTGCGGCCAATTGATTGTACTGTGGGTTATACTATCATGGACTTCTAAGTGTCACTGTCACATATCCTCTGTTATCTGTAAATTATTGAATCAAACTCTTTAGTTTACTCTGTCCTCTCTGTGCTCACTGTTCAATATCTTTACCTCGCTAATTTTGTTTTCTGCTTCTGATTAAACTAGTATCTTCCTCTTGTACTCATATTTAAAAAGATGCAATGCGTAGTTATAGTAAGATTTATCATACAACAACAAATAAATAATTTCTCTGGCCATATGTGAAGTGCCAATTTTGTTTCCTGTAATCTGGATCCATTTCTTAACATGTCTGGTTTTGCCGTATTGGACCACGATTAGTGGTTCTGTTCATTTTACAGCTTCTAATAACGATTGTGGAGTACGGGATTTTGACATGGGGAGATTCCAGCTTGTTAAACATTTCTCATACCCCTGGCCTGTAAATGTAAGTTCTTTTGTGAATTTGTATATATTTTGCATGTATATACCGAAAATTGATGAAAAATGACTTGGTTACCTTGTAGAAGATGATGGACAGACAAAAAATCAACATGTTTTTTAGTGCTATGCGCTTTGCACTCCCTTGATCTCGTCCATCTTTTGATCATTGTGGCTTTGAATTCTTTATTATCATTGGCTTAATGTTTAAGTTTTCAAGATCTTAGTTGGAGTTGTTTAGAAATTTAGAAAGGACAAGAAAAAATTTGCACACGGTATATATTTGTTGCCTTGTGTTCATGGACATTGATTTGCAGTGCAGGTTTTCATATACTTGCCTCTCTTACTCATTCTACTACTAAAGTTTGAGTTGAAGAGTAAAAGGATTCCAGTTTTTAATGGTCTAATCCAATGTATTTGACACATATTGTACAACATTTGTGCATATACGGATGTTTGTTCTTATAATAATGCTATGTGATTTTATTTGCAGCATACCTCTCTGAGTCCAGATGGCAAAGTTATTGCAATTGTTGGGGATAATCCTGATGGGATGTTAGTAGATTCACAATCTGGCAAGGTACCTACCGTGTTTGTTTTCATTTTTCCTTTTTTTTTTTCCCCTTTTCACCCTTCAGGAACAAAAAATATTTTTCAAAATCACAATAACTCCTTTATATTTTCTGCATTTTACAAAGAGAACGGCGCTCAACGGGAGACCTTCGTTATGAAAACATTTAGGGAGTGATTGGATATAAAAGTTTACAATCCATATTCAATCTAACTCAATTAAAATTTAATTCAAATTTAACTTAACCCCACTATCCTCAATCTTATCAATATGATTATTAAATACCAATCATATACTCTTACACATCACATCAACTTTAATTCACTATTAATCCACTCACATAATTTACTAACCATCACTTCACATCATCTCTCTTCTACTTTTACATCAAATCAGCTTTAATTATTTTATTTTAAATATTATTTTAATATAAATTCAAATCCCACTAACAACTAACCATACCACTTTTTCAAATTAACTCTGGTCAACTAAAAAAATCCATTTTGAGTGGAGCTTTTTATATCCAAGCACGCCCTTATTTTTTTTATTTTATTCCCCGTGTGATTGAATTCTCGTTTTTTTTTTCGAAAGACTATTGCACATGTTCGTGGTCACCTCGATTTCTCCTTCGCGTCCGCATGGCACCCAAACGGCTACCTTTTCGCCACTGGAAACCAGGACAAGACCTGCCGAGTGTGGGACGCGCGCCACCTGTTGAAATCCTTGGCCGTGCTCAAAGGAAACCTAGGCGCCATCCGGTCTATCCGCTTCTCATCCGACGGCCATTTCATGGCCACGGCAGAGCCGGCCGATTTTGTCCACGTGTACGATGTTAGAAACGGGTACGAAAAGGAGCAGGAGATCGACTTTTTCGGGGAGATCTCGGGAGTCTCGTTTAGCCCCGACACCGAATCTCTCTTCGTTGGAGTGTGGGACCGAACGTACGGAAGCCTCTTACAGTACAATCGGTGCAGGAGCTACTCGTACCTCGACTGCTTCTAATGATGGAAAATGATTATGTAAGATTTCAAAGTCTTTGTTTGGGTCAGGTTGTTTTTCTGTGTTCTGAATAAATAATATGGTTGGTTTAGGTTAGAAAAGAGGCCTGAAGTGGAATTTATGTCTCAGACAGGGNGTTTGGTTTGGTGTGTGTGTGTAAATTGTGCAAGTAATATTGAAGTCTGGAATTCATAGGGTGAAGAAAACTGGATTGTGTCTAGTTGACTTGACACTGTTTATATATCCATTGCCATAAGGATGTTGAACACCGTTTATATTTGTTGACACTTGTGGTTTTACTCCTTTGAACAGTGTTGTAATTGAACTGAACGACCTGAACGAGCTTGAGCATTTCAAGCTCGTGTATTGTTCGTTTGTTATTCGAGGAAAGATTTGTCTTTCGAACTCGTTCATTTAATTGTTCGTTGAAGTTTGGGCTAGTTCTTTGTTTAGATAATTTAGTTAATAAGTTTATTGAAGTTGTCGAATGTTATGTTAGCGTTCTATTAACAAACGAGCCTTAAATTTTTTATTTGAGCTGTCGGTTTGATTAATAAATGACTGAGCTTCGTTGAATACAAATTCAAACTTTTGTTGAGAGCATTTTTATTTGAGCTCGGATTGATTAGTAAATAATTAGTTTTGTTGAACATGAACGATCTCGAGCGAACTTTTATTCGCGAACGGTAGAATTCATTTACAACTCTACTTTTGAATAAGAACATTAACCTCCACTTGACGATCCTCCCATAAACACCACGACTGTTGCATCCTACTCTCAAATCTCAGTTGTTAGTTTACTATTTTTTTTTATTTTTTTATTTATTTTTTTAAAAAAGCAGAAACCTCCCATTTGAACCCTTGAATATAACTTAATTCTTCCCAAGAAATATTAATCAATAGACAATAATAATATTCTCTACTACCAAAAAAACAAAAAAACACCCGGATTTAATTTTTTAGCAACCTTCACATTTCTTATCTAACATTGTAGTTTGCTTGAACATCCAAAGTAACTTTACAGGGGCATGCAGACCGTTGATATCATTTTTCCTGAGGTCTGTAGTCTTTTCATATCCTGATGAGAATTTACGGCAATTCATACATGTAACAACGACCAGAAAAACCAAAGAAGGGATCATTTTATTCTTTCTTTCAGGAGTTTGTTACATTTACAATCCGAGGAAAAACGATCACCTTGGGATTTTACAATCCGAGGAAAAAATATAGAGCACAACACGAGCTCACTGACCTTTTTCCATTCACTCGGAGCTGTGAATGTGATCTCTCTCTCTCTCTCTCTAAAGCATATCTTCTTCACTCATTCTGTTTTTGATGTGAATTACTATTGTGAACCTGTACTAAAGTACTCCTGAGGCTGCATTCTTTCACCTGAAAAAAAAGAAAAGAAATAGCGAAGTCAGATTGAGGTAAAAAGAGAAGTAAATAATCTGTAAGAATACACACACACATTAGGGTTGTTATCGAACTTCGTGTTCGATAACAGCTGGTTCGTTTAGTAATCGAACCGAACTCGAACATGAAATTATGCTCGTTTATTTATCGAATGAACACGAACAAGTTCGCGAACGAAACGAGCGTTCGCGAACAAAAAGATATTTTATAATTCTATATTATATATATAGTTTATACATATCTAATATAATATAGAAGTATGGATATATATTAAATATTAAATAAAATAACTTGTAAGTAAACAAACACGAACACTGAACTTGTCGAACTATTCGATCAGTTTGCGAACAAGTTCGACTATATAAACGAACAAACACGAACTTATCAAACCAATAAACGAACGAACAACCTTAGGGTGCGCTTGTCTATCAAATAATTCGTTCAAAATGAGTTTTTTTGGTTAACTAGAGTTAATTTTGAAAAAAGTGGTATGGTTAGTTATTAGTGGGATTTTAAGAATGTACTAAAATAATATTTAAAATAAAATGATTATTATTGATTTGATGTAAAAATAGGAGATAAATGATTGGAAATTATTGAAAATGACAGGCAGTTAAAATTATATAAGTGGATGTTGATGGATAGTGAATTAAAGTTGATGTGATGTGTAAGAATGATTGGTTTATATTATTTAACTATATAAATAATTTTAAGGATAGTGGAGTTTAATTAAAGTTGAGTTAGATTTTGAGTATGAAATAAATATGAACAAATTATTTAATAAACAAGCATGCCCTTAAGCTCTAATCGGTTCTGCTCGATAACAACATATACGTATATATATACGTTCTATATATATATACGTTCGTATCTTTATAGGAGTCGAACATATCCCATGAGAATATACCTGTGAGACATATGTTTTGGACAGTAAGTCTCCACACTCCTCGATAAGCGCTTTTTCTCCACCAGCCACTCTAGCTAGTTCAGACACTGACACATCCATTTCTTCTGCCTATGGACACGAAAACAAAAGGTTTAGTACATACCTTCAAGCACTAGCTCATAATAAGAGGATAAATCCTTAATACTGTTTTGTCTATTCATAACGATAAGATCTTACTTTTTGTGTAAATCTCTGGGTATGAGAGCCTATCGACTCAATCACCTTAAGAGCCGAGCCAAGAGCCTCTCTCAGCTCCCCAACATCAGCCTGAGAAGTTTTGGCGGCTCTCACAAATCAGTTCAATTAAAAAAGCGCCAAATAAATGAATAAATACGTGTAAACTTTTACAATGCCAGTTGAATTTGTGTAGAGGATGGAGAAAAGAAATCTCACCCGCACAAATCCCCCAATGGGAAGTCTGGCAGAGCAACTGAGCAATGCGTTTGTTGTTTCCAATAGAGAAGCTGAGTACTCGATTTCCAAATTATCCCAATCATCGAGATATGGCATCTAAGAAATAAAGCAACAAAGGGTATGTCAATGGTTTATCAGAAACATTAAATGAATCAAGGATCGGTATTCATTTTATATTATGCTTTGTCCCTGGAAAAAAGTATGTAATCAGACAAACAATACAATCTTCTTACAAAAGCAAACTGCAGGAGGAAGAGAAGAAAAAATAAAAATAAAAACACGAATTATATGTTGGCTTTATTCAGTGTCAACATTTAGTCCAACAATGTAACTACTGCATTATTTGGCACTGAGGACTCTCATTAAATAGTGCCAAATTACAAATGTAAATGCTGAACATACACAAGAAACTGGCTTCAAGGACTTTAAAAAGAATAAAAGAATAAATCTTTACCTGGGCTTCGACAATCGTTGTAAATTTTTTTATTCCTCTCAACACTGCAAGTTCACTGCGTTTCCTTCTCACGTGTTCGCGCATATCTGATAACTTTGCACCGAGCGAAAAGAACTTTCTCTAAAGAATGAAGAAGAAGAACGAGCGCACAACTATTATGAACATAAGACAGGTTCAATATGAATACTGATTTCATCAAAGATCTAGAACAAACACAAATGGTGAAGCCACACACACACACACAGTAAACATGCATAAAACAAGATTTAAAAATCCACCAAACAAACCCTTTGGTTCCTCACTTATATCAAAACATACTTTCCCAAGACTAGCTCCACAAATATATCAGATCATAACTCAAAACACCAAATTCATTAAAAAAAATTTCACTTGACAGACGGTAAAAAAAGTTTAACCAGCAAACCTCAGCTTCCTCCTTCTGAGCACGTGCCGTGGCTTCCGCTTTTGCATTCGCCAAACGCCATTGAAGATAATGATTGTTCAACATCCTGACCGAATGCAAGTCTTCTTGCTGATTATTATTCCCTTTCCTTCCTTTCTTCGAATCCAATCCTAACCTCACATTTGATGAAGGATGAGGAGGCAGGGCCTTCACGGAAGACGAAGAAAAATTCAACGAGCGAGCACAATCGCCCGTCACTTTCCCGCCAAAACTCCTATCCGTAAGCCATTTATCCATGTCCGGCATAGAAGCCCGAATATCCGGAACATTCTTCAGTTTACTGCTCGGCAGGCAAATCGGAGAGTTGGGGCAAGATGAGCTTCCCTGATTTGAAGCCGTGCTGCTGCACAGGTCTGAGTCATCACGGCTTGACATGGAAATCCTGGTGAGCTTTTTCTGCACATCTGACGTGGCTTCCTGCAGAAGCCTGGCGGCGGCCGTGACAGAGGAGGAGCCGCCGCCGTTGCTGCTGTTCAGTGAAACGGACCGTTGGATGCTGGGAGTGACCTGCCGGTACCGTGACGGGACGATTCTGTCCGTACACGTGGCAATCGGCGTGTCGGACCTGGATGAAACCCTAGCGTCGGGATTTGGATGAAATTTGGGGTCTCCGGTTTGCCTCACACGCTGCGGGTGGTGGTGGTGTGGTTTCCTCAGCACGGTTGAGAGGATGGAGAAAGAGGAAGAGGACGATGATCTGTCCAGGCTCCGGTTCACCTCCGGCACGTGGTTCTCGTCGGCGATTGGCGGGTGGTGGCGGTGGCGGGCCGATTTCGAGCGCGGAAGGTCGGTAGGGTTAGGGATTGGGGTCGAATTCGAGTGGGTCAGGGGGGACATGAACCGGGAACTGACTTCCCTGACTCTGGGGCGGCGGTGGGTGGGCGGAGGTGGCGGCGGCGCTGGTTGCTCCGCCGCCGAACAGCGCGCTGATGTTCCGCCGCTATGGTCCGCCATTTTTTGCTCGGCTCCGCCGGGTTTCAGAGACGGTGATAGCTCTATCTATCTGGAGGCGGTTTGCGAATGGATTTGCACGGCGACTCCAAAGCAAGGATTTGAAGGAGACGAAAATGGAAATTGAGGTTTTTTTTTTCGTTTTGTCAGTGCGAANAATTGTTCGAAAAAAAAAAAAACTAGCCGTTATGAAAACGACGCTCTGTGGTAACGGTTCTATTGTCTAGTCTATCTACTATATAATTAGACAACACACTTGCCATTTTTAGAAAATTTTATGTGGGTCCTACAACACTTTTACTATTTTTGGAAAATCCTCACATTTTTTGACACGTGTTCATATTTATATTAATATTAATTGCCTCACCTAATATTTATTTAGTTTACCGATAACACGTGTTCATCAGTTGTGACTCATTTTCTTAATACAAACAATTAAAAGTACGGGATCGTTTGTACTTGACAGATACTTTTATAGAATTTTATTTTATTTTTCATCAAATATTTTATTTAAGATTATTTATCTAATTTTCATAATTCATACTTTACAAATTAAAATAATATAAGTATTCGTATGCTTAATTTTTTAAATTTTG